TGTGACTTGATGCCACCTATTTAAAAGAGAAAAAGGAAACTGAAGAGCCTTCCATGTCTGATACACAGGCATGGTTGGTGAGGAGAGAGTCTAGAAAGCTACCCAGGAAACTGATAACAGTGGAAATCTCCAAGAGGAGAAATAGAGTTGAAAGTGGTGAAAAATAGGTGTGTAATCTTTGTTATGTTTAAAGTTTTACTACAAGAATAGATTTGACAAGTTGCTTGTATAAAATTGAAAATACTTGTGCAGAGAAGAAAGAAAGAAAGAAGAAATACCAACAGCAGTTAGCCTTATGAGCAGGACTGGCTTCTCACTTGATTAGAAATGTCAGCTTCTGGCCTTGTCAACCCATTTGCTACAGCTAAATACACCAGAGGCTCCCCACCTGGAAATTGAGCCCATCCCTTTCAGAGCTCTCTTTAAGTTTCTCAGCAGTTTGCCCCGCTTGCTTGTGAATTTACAATTAAATTATGCTACTCAAATGAAGGATTTGCTGATCTCACTGTGACTTCCTGCTCCCTTGTATTCTTCTAAGCCGTAGTATTTTCTGTGCTGACCCATCTCTCTGTGTTTCAGTGAAGTATTGAAAATATCTTCCAGTGCTTTCTGTTCAGTTATTCTGCCTGTCTGACCACTAAAATCCATCTCTGAACTACCAGTAACATATTCATTAATATATTAACAAAACAGTCCTTACCAGTGCTTAGCTTCTTTTGCCAATCGACATTGGGACAGGACCTTATTTCCTGTACTCTCTCTATATTCAGCTCCTCTCTACATGTAGACAAAATGCCTCACCTTACCTATTTCATATTCTTACTTCCAAACTAGACTAATTGTTACAGTTCTTCATAGAAGGACCTCTTCCTGGTCTTGGTAGTTATATGAATGTCACCACAGAACACAGGATTTTTGTACTCTGCCTTAGACTGCTTATCACACAAATGAGATTAGGTAACTGGATTCAGAATGTGTCCATTTTTAATATAAAAGAAGCCATGAACATTCTATGAGCAAAATTCAATTATCAGTTTTCTTTGGAAGGCTAGGGTTGTATAGCTCAGTGGTGCTGCGCCTGCCTGACAAGTGTACCAGAAAGAACAAAGAAACTTGTTATTTCATCTTTTATCTAGTGCTTTTTTTCTTCAAGTTCTCCTTTTCTGAAACTCTGAAGTCATGTTGGTGTCTTTCCTTTGGTTATTTCTCAGGATCCCAGGACACATGTAGAATCATTTTTTTTTCCCAGCCCGAGGGCACTTCTTATGGACTCTCTTCTTTGTAGCTCCCTGAATAATACTAATCCCCCCTTTCCTTTTGTATTTCTAGTTCCCAAGTTTCTATCACAGTGAATATTTCTTTAGAGCAAACAGTTCATACTAGGACTTAAATCACATGTGATCTGTGGGTGGGTCTGATAAAAATTGAAAATCCAGTTGCAAATGTAGCATGAAAACAATTGTAGCCAGGTTTCAGGACCAAGCTAAGATGGCCATGAAGACAGATGGAGATTCTGATTATACTTTGACTTTATATGAGAATCTTGACCTCTTGAGGTTAGTATGGTCCAACATAAAAGTTGTTAATGTCTGAATAATACTTAGTTCAAATGAGATGTTCACATTGAGAGGATCAAATGAGAACTATGAGTCAACAAAGTAAAATGTGACAGGTTATATTAGCAAAACAAGTTAGGTGGGAGTTACTTGAAACTGTCAGGCTGAGCTCTTTGCATCCTAAGTTCCTTAATGTTAGAGCTACTTTTGTAGCTATAATGTTTGCTCAGTTTTTTCACAGTTCAATTTAACAAATTAAAAGGATTAACATTATTACAAAGGCATAATAACTTGAGGCAGATTCTTTTACTGTATAAATAACATAAGAATAAATTAGTTCTTCAGAACTATCATTTGGTTTTATTAAAGCTTCAATTCAAAATTGCTAAGAGATGACAATCTCCTAGTTAAGTGTTTAACTCTTGTTAAGTTTCTATATTGTATTCTAAATGTCTAAATATTGTCTACTGTTTCAATATAAGAATATTTATGCTAAAAATGAATAAGTGAATAAGAACAGCTAAAAGCTAAGTCTTAGTGACTCGTCTAGTTGTTGACATTGATAGCAGAAGCACCCACAATGTCCTGAACCGATTAAAAGGCAAACTTTTCAGTTTAATCTTTTTAAAATATCTTGAAGGTCAATGTCACATTCCAAGTAACATATTAAGAATTTATTTCAGTATTGTAATCTGTGAGAATCCAGTAACAGCATACAGAGAAAGTCTTGATTTCCCACGTTTTATTCACTTGTATTTGTGGTAAAACAACTTGTCCCAAGAGTTACTGATATTTCCATATCGGTAAAATGTTGAATTAATAAATTGTTTAAGTAAAAGAATTTTAACCACTTCACGTCCATTAGCTGTAATCAAAACAGCAATATTGATAAGGTTAGGGAAAAATTGGGACCCTGGTTATTATTGGAGAGAATATAAAATGGGGTATAACCACATTGAAAAACAATTCATCAGTTCTTCATAAAGTTAATAGAATGTCCATATGACACTTGGATTCTTGGGCATATAATGAAACAAAAGCATGTTTACACAAATATTCACAGTGTCATTACTGTCATAGCCAGGAATAGAAACAACTCAAACATCTGTCAGCTGATGAATGGATAAACAAAATGTGATGTATGCATACTCTGGCATATTATTCAGCCATAAAAAGAGTGAAGTACTGATTCATGTTAAATATGAATGTCGAAAAGACCGAAGGGCCACATATTGTTTTATTCTATTTATATAAAAGTTCAAAGTGAACAAACTCAAAGAGGGCACAAGGTAGCCTGGTGGTTGCCAGTCCTGGGTATAGAGGATAGTGGACATGAGGTGTTTTGAGGGGTGATTGATTTAGAGAGTGACATTGCACAGCTTTGTGAATACATTTGAAGCTATCAAATTGTATATTTCAAAAGGATGAACTTTATGGTATGCATCATTACAAATTTACCAGTGTTTGCTTCTTCTTATAAAAAGATATTTTTAATGGAATGATAAGTTTTTTCATAATGCCGGGACTTCAGGGGAAAAAAAAGTTAAACACAACAAAGGTGATGTCACCTTGATATTTATGAAGTAATTTGTAATTGCCTTGTGTGCAACTTCACCAATCTGAAAAATTTACCATATTCTTCTTATAAAAAGATATTTTTAATGGAATTATAAGTTTTTTCATAATGCCGGGACTTCAGGGGAAAAAAAAGTTAAACACAACAAAGGTGATGTCACCTTGATATTTATGAAGTAATTTGTAATTGCCTTGTGTGCAACTTCACCAATCTGAACATTAGATACTTTTAGCAAGAATGAAGTACCCTACAGTATAATGCATATGTTCTGTGCTTGTACTCTGTTATTGTCACAGAAGTGAAATGATGTGTAAAAAAGCATTTTGAAGTTTATATTACCTTAGGAATATCAGTTACAAATGTCATTTTTTAGTGGAAGAACCATTGCTGTAGACTTAAAACTGGATTTGAACAAGAACCTGATATTTACTAGCAGCTTGTTCCTCTTACATTATTTGACATCTCTGAGCCCAACTTCCTCATTTTTAAAATACCTAATAGGACTGTTGTAAGGATTGAATGAGATCCCACAGATGAAACAGATTATGCTTTTTACTTCCCTCACCTGCCCATACTCTCTCTGTTTCTTCTCACCCTGTGTGTAACTTCTCCACCTTACACACACACACACACCCCTATGTAGACCAAGTGCGATGTTTATGTTATATCTCTTTTCTGTATCTTTCCAGTGAACCTGAAACATTACTTTGAATGGAAATACCATACTTTATTTTCCTTGATATTTATTTGCCTGCCTTCTCCAGAAAACTATAAGAGGAAAAAGAAATTTCCACTGAATGTGTGTGTGTGTGTGTGTGTGTGTGTGTGTGTGTGTGTGTGTGTTTTTAAACAGGGTCTCACTATGTAGTTGAGACTGACCTGGAACTCACTATGTAGCCCAGGCTGGTCTCATACTCACAGCGATCCTCCTGTCTCAGCCTCCCGAGTGCTGGGATTAAAGGCATGTGCCACCACGCCCAGCTCCACTGAATATATAAATCACCACATATTATAAATATTTCAGTTGATTGTGCCTTAACAAAAAGCAAAACACAGACACTTTATATCTTTGCGTGTAGGTATTAGTCCTTGTGTAGTCTCCACTTCAATAAATATAAGAAGAAATGAATTTCAGCTTCATATCCAGCATTATTCTGGGTTTGTAATACCTCTCTGAACAGATATAATGCATTTTTGTTTTGCTTTCTGTTAAAACACAATCAACTGAAATATTTTTAAATTCATAGGTGATTATTTATATATTCAGTGGAAAAATTTTTATTACTAATTATACCTGTGGAATGAACCAAATGTTCTTTATCTGTGTTATAATATGCTATTTCTAGTGCCATATGTATCTTCACAATTTGTACAGTTTTCCTGAAGCATCCAAAGTGATATATTTGCTAACTTAAAACTTTATTTTACAAGTGTCTCAAGAATTTGCAGTTTAATGTGCATGTGTTGTGCTCTTTTTCTCCCTCTAATTTTATTTAGACTTAGAATGAAGTAGGAAGTTTAAGAGAACCCTGTAGATTTAAGAAAGCTTCTGAAAAATGTATACATTAGATCACTTTAGCAGTGGAACTGAAACTTGCTCTGTTGTTGTCTTAAATGTCTTATAATAATAAAAAATAATTGTATTTGGATAAAAATGGTGGAATGATGGAGTTATGTTATATTCTCTGAACTTATATATTTTCATATATCTGCCTATCTAAATTTTTTATAGAAATTTTGCTGAATAAATATCAGATACTGTAACTATATGATATGAGCTTATGGAAAAAGTAGAAGTTAGCTTTGTGTTTATATAAACCATCAAGATTGCTTACTTTAGAAGCTCATAACCATTCTATTTCTTTCAGGTATAGAGAACTACAACTTAGTACAGAAAGCAAGGTAGCAGAATTTCTCCATCAAAGTAAATTAAAGTCTTTTGAAAGTGAGCGTGTTCAACTTCTACAGGAGGAAACTGCAAGGAATCTTACACAATGTCAGTTGGAATGTGAAAAATATCAGAAGAAATTAGAGGTACTAATACAGTTTTCTTTCAGTATTAGCATCGCATGTAAGCTCCCTAAGTGCACAGTTTATGTGGAGCTTTACTTCTGGAGCACCTCACATTGTCTTCACAAAAAGACAAGGAAATGTGTGGATTTCAGAAAAATGCATGCTACAAAGGACTGGAGTTGTTAGAAGATAAAAACTGGATAAAGATTTCTTGCACAACAGCCACCAAAAATCATACAATTACTTTGAATGCTTTTAAGAAGAAAAATGTAATCTATACCTTAAAAACCTATAAAACTTTACTGACATAAGAAATTCAGTCTTTTTGGGAGAAGCTAACTTCAATATTAAATATTTTCCAGTTTTCATCAAGTAAAATTATATGTTCCTTTTGTAATCAGATGCTAACATCTTGCTAATTTTTAATTCTGTGGTACAGCTGGAAGGGAAAATAGAAAGTAGCCAGGTTTTTTGGAGAATATTTTTCAAAAGAAATAAAGGAAATATATGTCACATTTTAAAATAGATTCTGATCAAGAATTAAAACACAAGAATCCATAAATGGTAAAAGATTTAAAAACTCTAAAACATATTAACTTATTTATAGATCAAAGTTATTTATTGATCTTGATCTAAAGATCAAATCAGTGAGGAAAATACAGATTGAAGAATAAATAGTGCTCTGATAATTATTTATTTAGAGAATTTAGTAGAAGCCATACTTCATGACATATGACAAAATGAGTCACATGAGTTACTAAACAATGTATATATGAAATTATAAAACTATTAGAAGTAAACACAGATAAAGTTTATATCAGTTTTCAAAATAATCTGTTAATCTGTTGATTAAATCAAAGAAATACAGGAAAAATAAAAACTATGTTTAAAAAGTCTGAATAATATAAAGGCAAATTGAAAATGAAAATAGCCTGTGATTTAGTTCAGTGGTGTCGCTGCCTGCCTCACAAATGCAAGGTCCTGAGTTTGATCCCCAGTACCAAAAAAAGAAAAAGGAAAGAACGTTTATGTTATACGTGACAAAGACCTGTGTCTTTAATTTTAAAAGCTTTCTTGCTTTTCATGGTGCCCCGGGCCTATAACCCCAGCTAATAGGTAGGCTGATGCAATGTGAAGGCCAGCCTGGGCAACTTAGACCACATCTCAAAATAAAAAAGAGCTAGAGATGTAGCCCAGTGCTCGCTGAGTTAAATCCCCAAATACCACACACACCCCACATAAACACATATACCCAACACACATATATACAAATCTCTTATCAAGAGGATATGTCTTCCTCTTCTAGATACATAGGTAGAAATTTACTTCGTTTTTTTACTTTCATATAGGTCTGTGTGTTGCTTTTTAACATAATAGCAAGAGTACCTGAAATAGGGAATCTCACATGGTTAGAAAATGAAAGCCAGGCATGGTGGCACACCACCTATAATCCCAGCTCTTGGGAGGCAGCAGAATTGCCTCAAGTTTGAGACCATCCATGGTTCCATAGCAAGTTCAAGGCCAGCCTGTAGTACATAGTGATATCCTGTCTCAACACAAAAGAAAGAGAAAAAAAGAAAATGGGGCAGCTCTACCATGCTTGGTAATTCCTGCTACTCAGGAAGCTGAGGCAGCAGGATCTCAAGTTCAAACCCTGAATGAATAACGTAGACCTATCTTAAAATACAAAATAAAAAGGTCTGGGAATGTAATTTAGCACTACCTGGATTCAATTTACATTATCAAAGAGAAGGAGGGGGGAAATGGAACAGCCTTTCTAGAGGACAACATGGTAGTCTCTGTTAATCTAATAATTTTAGTGAGGGGACTTTTACCTAACGAAATAAGTTATACTTATAAAGGTTTCTATTAATGATGTACATCACGACATTACTTATTGTAGTAAAAAGTGAAAGTAATTTAAAATATGTATTTTGTGATGCCTGTTCAATATATGGTGGAATATAGTCATGTTCTTAACTTTTTGATTTGACACACGTTTATTAGAAACATTGAATGAAGCCAGGCATAGTGGCGCATGCCTGTAATCCCAGCACTCAGGAGGCTTAGGCAGGAGGATTGCCAGAAGATCAAGGCCAGCCTGGACTACATAGCAAGGCCTGTCTCAAAAAAACTAAAAACTAAAAACTAAAAAGAAACATTGAATGAAGGACGCAAGTGTGTCATCAGCACAGTCCTGACTATGGGTTACACATTCAGTAAAATCCTCAATATATGTCAAAAAAAGATTTGAAAATCTATCAAACTATTAGTCTTTACATCCATGGTATAATTATGAATTATTTATATTTTCATCATTCTCCCACTAGCCAGCAGATTCTGTGGTGCTAAGACCTGGACTTCTTGAGTGACACTGTATTTCCAGGTCCTTGGCAGTGTCTGACACAACATCAGTTGATTGAAGGCATTCATTGGTTTCTAACTGGACACCCATTAGATAATAAGCACTGTATTACATCTTATTACTCACACAACTTTAGCCCAAGATTATTTCTGTCTGCAAGAAACTAACAGTTTGAGCAGAGCTTTGAATAGACCTTTCTGTGACGATGGAAATGTTCTATGTCTGCACTATCCAGTCAGTAGCCATTGGCCACATGTGATTATGTAGCACTGAAAATGTGAGTAGTGCAACTGATGAACTAAATTTCTCATTTTAGTTTATCTTAATTAGACTAAATCTAATCTAAATTAGCCACAAATGGCAGGTCACTATTATGGCATATTAGAGTGCATGCCAGACAGTTGACCAGATCACATGTGGCCTCACTGTTGGGCAGTAGTGAGTTTTTAAAAATAGTTTTCTCTTTTGTTTTATCATTAAAGCAAATAGACATCTTCTTCTGTCTGGTAGGACTTCTTATAGTTGTATTGGTAGTGACTAAACCTGTGGGTGTTCAGATTAGATATGAACTGAGATCTGAATCCTACTTGCTCACTGCTTTCTAGAGAAATTACTCATTTGCCAAGGAGAAATAAGAGGAGCTGCCTCATACCTTGTTACAGAGAGCCTGTTTGGCACAAATGAAGCACTCATTCATTCTTAGCACCATTAAAAATTCTCAGAATATTCTCTTTTTGGTGCTATAGAATTTTTGTTTTGGTGCAGTTAAGAAATGCAAAGAAAATGAAAGTATTCCTTTCCAAAAGGTAACTAGGAGTATTTGCTAGGTAAAAAGATAAATGAAGTTTTTTTTTCTACTTTTCAAATCTCAATCATGTGGCAGCTAAACCCGTTTTACACCTCTATTTTTCCTTTCTGTATATGAAAGTTTCCTGTAGTTCTGAAAATATGTAATTTTATGTCATTAAACAGAAGCTAAGAGGCAAAAAAACTGAATGAGCCAATTAAAGGGCTTTTCCAACTTAAAATTTATCAAGTCACAAACTATTACTTGAACTACTGTAATTAGGACTCTCATCTGACCAACCTGACTTGAATCCCCATAGTTTTTAACCACCACAATATTCAAGTAATAATAAAGGAGTTATTACAAAATCCCTGAAACATTACACTTCTGAAAAATACTCTGCCTCATAAACTGAGTAAAATTACTAAGATAAAGGGCCACAGAAAACAAAACCTTGACAGAAAACATAAAAATGGTATTAGATATATGTGTATATTTAAAGTCACCTAAGCAAAAGTTGTAGATGGTGACTACTTCTAAAGCAAATCATTGTTGAGCTGTTAAAACTTTCTCCTACATCTTCAGGAACATGCTGCAAGTGAATCTTGCAGCTGATTCTCCTACACATTCTCAGTTAGACTTTCTCAATTTAGCTCTCATTTGGAGTTAGTCTTTTGCAAGTTGTGAGTTAACTTTCATAATTCCTAGAAAAATGCCTTTTCTTTTTCATATTGAATCACTGTGCTTAGGAGTGTGTCTTAGGTCTGGGACACAAGGGATGGGTTGAGAAGCTATCTATATGGAAAGGGGGAGAAGCACTTTCCTTGCTGTACTTCTAAAAATATTTTACAAAATAATACTTTATAACACAAACAATACTTATGGGTGTTGATGTTTTTCAAACCTTCTCTTTTTTATTGGTTGCTAACCAAACCTCTTAAAGGTTTCAACTTGCAGTTTGAAAACCACTGTCTCACAGGCCTGTCCACTTAAGTCTGTGGATGCAGTGACTAGTAATTATTATATTCATTTGCTTAAAGGTCTTTTGTGGACAAACACTTTTATAAAAATGCTCTGACCTAAAATCTCTGGGTGATAAAATAAAAACTTTGAGGAAATTTTCTTTATATTTTTCCGCATCTGTTAAACTAAGGTTTTGAAATGATAAGAACTCTTCATTGGGTCTCCAGTGCCCAACACACTGCTTCTCTGTTGGTAGATGCTTGGTAACATTTAATGAATGAATGCATGGTTCAGTTAAGACTAATATAGCACCATTTTTTTTTATTATAGATAGGAATTACCAATTTTGGAATTACCAAATTTTCTTTTTTGGTATTTATAATGGAGTTACAAATCAGGTAAAAATTATGGTAAAAATTAAGGAATTTTTTGTGACTTTTACCCAATACTGTCACTGATTTATAATTTTTTTCCCTTTTGGTAAGTTTATTGAGGTTTTAATTTTTTTTAATTTAATTTATTGGTGCATTCTAGGTAGACAGTACAGTTACATTCATTACTGGGATCTTGTACCTTTACATGACAGATTTTGGTTCTCATTTTTTCCCCTTGTCCACACCCTCCCTCCCTCCTTTGAAGATTTTTTTTTTTTGCTTAATTATTAATTGGCAAAGTCTACCAAAATACCATTTATATGTCTTTTTATAAGCAATTATTGACTTATAACTTTATATTATTATTCAGTTAATGAACCTTTTAATGGAAGAAAAAGTCTACTGTGAGAGCTTTATATTTAACAAATTCATAAAGTAATTGACCTATTTTATGCCTCCATGTTTAATCACCTACATTGTTTGTTCCTAAAGAATTTTCTCTAAGTCTACCATAGGTTCAATAATCTAGTTCTTCTTAGACTTTTCAGAAATAGTAATAAATTATTCTCAGCAGACATTGAGACAAATCCATAGTAAGAATCCCCAAATCTGAAGTTCCTGAGATTCTCTCTTCCATGTTATAAAAAGATGTTTAAGTTGTATCTCTCAATTTAATACTTTTTAAATCTATTCTTAAAATAATATTTTATGAAATATGCCATCTTCAACATTTCCATTCTTTATCTCTTTTGATATCCCTTTCTGCAATTTCTCTTTGTTTTAGTTGGGGGGAGAGGAGTACAGATGTAAAGTTACATCAGCTTGGATGTGGAAATGGTGATTTAAAACATACTGATTCATTTTCTTTCTCTTTCTCAACTGAGGATTGAACCCAGAGCCTTCACATTGAGCTACAACCCCACACACACCAACCCCTGTTTTTTAACTTTGAGATAGAAGAGTCTCACTAAGTTGTCTGGATTGGTCTTGAACTTACTGCCCTCTAGCCTTCGCCTCCCAGAGTGCGGGGAATACAGGCATGTTCCATCACGCCTGGCTCTGCCTTGAAAGTGGAATAAGTGTTTCCACTTATTCTTTTTAAATTATACTCCAATATAATGAGCTCCCTGAAAGCCAGATCATTTCACTGATAAAGATTATTCTTATAATGAATAATGAGTCTATAGAAATCACATTCCTAGCCAGCACAAATAAAGAAAAAATAATATTAAACAATGAATTTTTTTTCTGATCCAGTGAAAGATAGTAGATACCATCCTAAAAATATTATTCCCATATTGTTCCTTCTCCACTGTCTAAAGGGGTATATTTGCAGGGCAGGGGATAATGCTGTTTACCTTTGGGATAAGTTTTGATGAAAATTGAAGTAAATGACACAGGATGAGTAAAGGAAAATTAAATTATAATTTCTGCTAGTTAAGAAATAAAAATCAGTCTTCTTTATCTTCTGTATCTTTTCATTTTCCAAAATCACAAACAGCATACAGTCATATATAATTGTTAAGGTGAACTTTATGTCATTAGAGAACATAAGTTGTTCTCAGAAGGGTTACAGAATTCTGGATAATTGAATCAGGAAAACTCTTATTTCCATGAGCTATTTCATACAAAGTTCTCATAATTATATTTCTTAGGGTAAAATACTGCTTTTCAACACCTTCTATGATCTACATACTCTGCTAAGCACTATAAATTTATCATCTCATTTATCCCTTCCAAAAATGTTCTAAGAAAGGGATAGAAAAAGTAACTAATTGCCCATGATCACAGCTATAAGGGTCAAAGTTATATTAAAATCCAAATCTTTATAGTTCCAAATCCTATTCTTAACTAATATTCTGTTGCCTCTCAGAAAACAGTATTGCTTAAGTTGTGTTAGAAAACAGGTGTAGTAACACTTCATAATTTCTTTAGTACTTGTAAGTAAACTTTCTGAATAATTAGAATTTAAATTTTCAAACATTCCTTCATCCTTGGGAAGCATCTTCTTTTTCAGCTAATTTATTATGATTATAGTAATTCCTTCATTGAATTACCACTGATCAGTGAAGGTTTTTTTTCTATTACACAAAGGGGCTCCAGTTTCCCTACCTTTTGCATCTCTTTTAAATACTTTATTAATCCTTTCTTTCTTTACAAAAACATTTTCTTATATTGCCCTAAGCAGAAGTTCACATTTGCCTTTTGATTGGATGCGTTAGATTTATGACTGTTCAGAAAACCAAAAATGTTATTTTTGGGTAGATTCATCTGACTCTGATGGCATACATTGTGATTATATCATTTTGTAAGCCTTTCTCGAATAGCTGTGATTACTGGGTAAATGACCTCCAGGTTATGTATGACATTGCATTTTTTGAGTTCTAACAAGCAAATGCTAACCTTACTCCTGTAACTATTACAATAACGATAAAATACTTCATAAAATACAGTTTAAAACAACTGAATCATGTATTTGAGAAATAAATCTTTTATTTCCTCACTAGTCATCTCAGTTGAGCTATTTTCTGTTAATATTTAAATAATTAAAAAGAAGAGGCCTAAATATGTCTTGGTATCATGTTTTTGTCTTAACTAGAACCTATTTGGTTCCTAATTCTGTTATTTTTTCTTTCACTATCAGGTTTTAACTAAAGAATTTTATAGTCTCCAAGCCTCTTCTGAAAAACGCATTACTGAACTTCAAGCACAGAACTCTGAGCATCAGGCAAGACTGGACATTTATGAGAAACTGGAAAAAGAACTTGATGAAATAATAATGCAGACTGCAGAAAGTAAGTCTCCTCTTTCTCTCTAGTCCACCTACAGTCTTTCTGGTAGTGAAAGAAACCTGGTATTCTTTCCAAAATTACTTTGATATGTAAAAATATAATTGGGACAAACAAAGAAAACAAAGAATAAAACATACACACACACACATAATTGGTGACCATTTTTTAAAGAATATTCTATATTTTAAATATTAGTTCATATTCATTTTGAACAGTTGTAATCAAGAAAGAGTTTATGACAGATTTTATTTAATTCACTCATTCAATAAGTATTAAACATTTCTGTCTGTCAGGAAGTGGGGACATGGAATCCCACAAAGAATTCTTGCCTTGTAAGAGTTCTTAGTCTAGTCTAGAGAGACAAACATATTAACAGCCCATTAAAGTAGCAGATGCTGTAAGCACATGGTAATGTGGCTCTTGGAAACAGAGAAGAGATCCTGGTTAATTTCACCTTGGAGGCAAGCAAAAGATGGAAACAAAGCTTTTGAAAATAAGGAGAAGGGTTGAATAGAAGGGGTGAGAGTCGGAGGAGGAAAAGAAGAATCAAGATATATCATGTATTGGTACAAATTCCCTATGGTGACTATGAGCTGTACGTATATCAAAAGTGTACCATAAAATTAGTTTTTTAAAAAAAAGAGAAAATGAAGCAAGGATTTCTGTTTTCACGACATATTAAACACTATTTGATTCTCTAGTTGATAAAACGAAACATGAAAAAAAATAAAAGATACAAAGATGAAGATGTAGCTCAGTGGTAGAGCATTGCCTATGATGTATAAGCCTTTGGATTTGATCCCCAGTACCGCCCCAGAAAAAGAAAAGAAAGGAAGATCAGAAATGGAGAAAAATATTTTAGAATACAAAATAACCACTTAAGCTATAAGTTAGCAAAATAGAAGGTCATTACCCAAAACTATGCTACAAGCAATTAGAAACATAAATATAAAAAGCAAGCCAGGACTGGTGATAAACACCTATAATTCCAGCACTCCGAGAGGCTGAGGCATGAAGACCGGAAATTCAAACCCAACCTGGGCAATTTAGAGAGACCATGTGTCAAAAATAAAAAGTGAAAAGAGCTAGGGATGTGACTCATTGTAAAGATCATGGGTTCAATCCCCACTACCACCAAAAGAAAAAAATCCCACAAAATACTAAGGAATAAATTTACCACTCTACCCCCCTCAAAAAAAACCCACAACATATTGCTAAGAGTAAAGAAACCCCCTATGTCATTAATCCTACAATATCTCCCATTCTAATCACAATGCCAGCAGGTTCTTTTGTATTTTATATATATATCAAAAGACAGAATAGCCAAAGCAACTTGAAAAAAGGACAAGGATAGAAAACTAACCTTGCCTGGCTTTGTAATGCACTGTAGTCTTAAGGTAGCTGGTAGTAATCGTGCCAAGAAAGAAGGAAACAGATTTAGAGAACTCAAAGACATCCATTCATAATTATTTGATTTTTAATAAAGGCAACAAAGTAATCAACTAGAGAAAGGAAAGTTTGTTCAATAAATGGTACTAAGAAATTGGACATGTTTGTGGAAATGAACCTCAGTATACCAATAATTTGAAATGAGAACTAAATACAGTAGCTCAAACAAACGTTCAGCAGAAAATGTAAGCATCTCTTCAAGTAGTGATAGGTTAAGATTTTTTTTTTTTTTTTTGGTACTGGAGATTGAACTCAGGACCTTGTGCTTATGAGGCAGGCAGAGGCACCACTGAGCTAAATCCCTGGCCATAGGTTAAGATTTTTAAAACAGAGCCTGGGAAGACTGCCATAAAAGAAAAAAATGATACAGTGGTCACAATCAAAACTTAAAACTTCCAGTCTTCAAACCACATGATTAAGAAGCCACAGACTGTTTTGTATCTGACAAAGAAATAGTATCCAATACGTAAAAACACTAGGAGAAAATACTTTTAAAAAGGAGACAAAGAACTAGTATCTAGTTATGTTTTGTTGTTGTTGTTTTTGGTACTGGGGATCAAACTCGGGTCCTTGTGCTTGCGAGGCAGGAGGTGGAACCACTGAGCTAAATCCCCAGCCCTAGTATCTTCTTATGGTAGACTGAAAATTGCTCTCCAAGGATGTCTGTGTCCTAATCTCTGGAACCTGTGAATATTTCACCTAAGATAGCAAAAGAGACTTCACAGGTATGATTAAGTTAAAGATCTTGGGGTTATCTGGGTAAGCGCAATGTAATCACAAGAGTCCCTGTAAAACAAAAGGTGATGACTGGTTGTGGCCTGTAATCCTAGCACTTGGGAGGCTGAGGCAGGAGGATTGCCACAAGTTCAAGGCTAACCTGGACTACATAGTGAGACCCTGTCTCAAAAAAAAAAATCTATATAGGCATATAGATACAGATACACATATATATCTCAAGCTGCGGATGTAGCTCAGTAGTGGAGCACCCCGGGTTAGATCTCTAGCACCACAAAAGACAAGGTGATGGGGTAATGAGAGAATTCGGAGGTGCTACACTGCAGGTATGAAGATGGAAGAAGCTGGGCTGACACGGACAGCAACTAGCAACCTGGAAAAAACAAGGAAATGGATTCTCCCCTCGTGCTTCCAGATAGGATCAAGCCTGCCAACACTGTAACTTCAGCTCAGGGAGACTGGGCTTCTAACTTGTAGGGCTGTGGGAAAATAACTCATTATTCCAAGCTACAAAGTCTACAGTATTATTGCAGCAATAGAAAATTAAAATACCGGCATGTATAAGGAACTCAATAATAAAAAGAAAACAGCCCAATTTAAAACATGGGCAGCTTGAACACTTTGCAAAGGAAGATATGTGATTGGCCCATAAACGTAGTAAAATACACAGCACCATTACTTATGAGGGGAATTCAGATTTAAAACCCAATGAGAGGGTTGGGGATTTAGCTCAGTGGTTCCACCACCTACCTCGCAAGCCCAAGGTCCTGCATTCTATCCCCGGTGCCAAAAATAAAAAATAAAACCCAGTAAGATAGTACTATTATATATCCATGATATATAGAATAGCTAAAATGAGAAAGACAAGCTATACACAGTGTTAGTGAAAATGAGGAACATTTGACAGATTTTATAAAAATAACCCTAACCCTACCCAGTTATTTAGCAGTCTCACTCTACTTATTTAACTCTAGTGAAAAGAAAGCATAATGTACATAAAAACATTCCTACTGGAGTACTGATAGGAGCTTTATTCATGATAGTCAAAAATTTGCAATCCAAAGCCAGGAATGGTGGCACACTCCTGTAGTCCCAGAACTCTGGGAGGCAGAGGTAGTAGGACCACAAGTTCAAGCCCGGCCTGTATAACATACTGCGGCTCTATCTCAAATTTTTATAATTAAAAGGGTAGGAACAAGGGCTGGGGATGTAGCTCAGTGTGAAAGCCCTCAGTTCAATCCCTAGTATCACAGGAAAAAAAAGAAAAAGAAAGAACTTGTAACCCAAATGTCTATCACAGGAAAATGGTTAAAACCATCAAATATTTATATAGTAGAGTAATAAAAAGATAAAAACAACTGATTAACTCAAAAACCATGGACTTATTTAGTCTTAAGAAAGTTTTCACAAAAAGTTTTTATGACATATTTAAATTTATGTAAAATTCAAGAAAAGTAAAATTAATCTGTGTTTAAAAACTTGCCAAATGGTGGTGTTTGTAGCAAATGATCATCACCAAGAAGTAACTGGGAAAACACACACAAGGAAACTTTATGGATTTGAAGATGTCCTGTATATTTTGATGGGATTTTTGTGTTACACACGTGTGTACTTCAAAACTTTTATACATTTCAAAACTCGGTGAATGAGTATTTCTGCATTTTATCAAATGAGATTGATGGATGGAGATAGTAAAACATACATGTGTTTACCACATGAATGTAGTACATATCTATAATTTAGAATCCATGTGTTGATGTATACTGTACAATTCTTTCCATTTCTAAGTATTTCCCTAAAATCCTAGGAAAATATGGAAATGAACTTTGCTGTAATATCTAAATCGTCCTAAAACATCTTAGAATAAAATACACTTACTTGCACTAGAAGATCAATTAGTAGGTTCTGTATCATTTCTCATCAGAAATTAGATATCATAATGTTCCAATGAATACATGTTAATACAATTTTGAAGATTTAAATATATTCTTTTTTAGTACAAAAATATGTACAAGGTTTGAAGATTTATCATCGAAATCAGCCAATTTCAGCTGACATAAAGATGGGTGGAGTTTGTTTATTAGAGTATAACCATAAAAATTACAGTATCTGATTTATACTTGAATTACTTTCTGTAATCAGACACATATATTATTTGGATTTGAAGAGTTTAGTTTTTAAACTAATAATCCTACCTCTGAAAGCTGATCCTGTTTCATCCTGAAAAACGGGGATAAAATTAGAGGAAAACAGTTATGAATATTTCTAAAAGCTTTACTGTGCTATAGAACCAGCAATTGTGTACATAAATACATTGATCGTCATACAAGTAGTCAAGTTTAATTTATGGTGTAAAAATATTTGACTTTGTTTTAAGTCTGAAATATTCCTTAATGTAGATTCTCTTTTTTAACATTAAAATAATAGTTACTGCTTTACTTCAGTTTTTATAGCCATTGATGATTTTTTTTTAATTCTAACTTGCAGTAAAACATATGAACTTTTTACCCATGAGATGTTATACCTGTTAGTTCAAATGCCTTTTAGACTACAGAGTGACATGACAGTAGTAGAATTTAGAAATAAATTGTTTTCCAGGAATTTTTTTGCATTTATAAAATTCAGGCCCATCAAAGTTAGTCCTGCACATTTGCTTTAGATGAGCCTACTTAAATATATAATTCGATTATTGCAAGTTAAAATATAAGTTGTTCTTCTGAAAATAATAAAAATCTTTCCTAATCAAAAAGTCAGTTTTGGGGGCTGGGGATTTAGCTCAGTGGTTCCGCCAACTGCCTCTCAAGTGCTAGGACCCGAGTTTGATCCTCGGTACCAAAAAAAAAAAAAAAAAAAAAAAAGAAACGATCAATGGATTAATCCACTGGCTTCTTATAAGAATTGATGCTAGTATTATCACTATTTGTCAGATTTTATAAGATACATTTTATGTAAAAAAAAAAAACTTTTGAATCCTTCAGAGTAACAAATTATATTGCTGTGCTTTGTAATAAGAAATTATGTAATAAGATGCAAGCCCTTCTAAATGTAAATCAAACAAATCCAAGCAAGGATATATGTGAAGAAATTTACTTCTAGATGCAAATGAGTTGTTTGAGATTATGCATTAAGTCTTTAATGTTTCTATTCTCCCTAATTCACTATAATAACCTCATTTTTTTCACTTTGCCATGCTTTTTAAGAGAAGAAGAGGTCATTTCACATCCTATATTTTAATATTTTTCAGTTGAAAATGAAGATGAGGCTGAGAGGATTCTTTTCTCCTATGGCTATGGTGCTAATGTTCCCACAACAGCGAAAAGGAGACTAAAGCAAAGGTAAAATCAATATATAATTTATCTTACTTATCTACTGAAGCTACATGTAATTACATTATTCATTTTGATAATGTGCTGAGTTGAATGACAATGTAGTTTTATTCGTAGTGTGCATAAATATTCCATTGCTCATAAAATAAAACAAAGATAATCATGCATTTCATGTATATTTAAGTGAGTTTAATGGTTGATAAAATAGAAGTATGCATTAGAATTTTCATAGAATTAGACTCAGTGATAATGATGCCATTTCTATTTTATTTTCACATTAATTTTAAGTAAGAACAAATGGTTTGTAGCTGTAATTTTCATGTTAGAACTAATTTATTATGCTTCACTTTTCCCTTTAACTCTTGTTTTTTATTCACCGGCATACAATCCTTGACACATAGAAAGAATGTGTGTGTGATAAGAAGGCAGCATGTATATTGTGATTGAAACTATAAAAGCTTCTGTGAATACCAGGAAAACTTTTGGGAGATCCACTATTGCTTAAGAGCTACTACTTAAAAGTATGAACGTTGTACCTGTACTTATCAGCTTTCTACTTGACCTACTTGATTGTTTTTCATGTCTCCTCTCTTCTTAAATTCATTCTGCTTTGCAAAAAACTTCTCGCTGCTCCATTTTCTGTGGCATGTATCTGAATGTTTTGCCAGACTTCCAAGACACTCCATAATGTGCCTCTGTTTCGCCATCTTTATTTGCCTCTCTGTCCAGAATGAGAGTGAGCACTCTGCTCTTAAAACATCTTTTTTGTCTACACCAAACTGAAGCATTCTCTTCTTCGCAATCATTTCCCAGGTAATTTCCCAGCTAACTGTAAAGTTCTTTAAGGTGATCAGTTACATCTATTCTCCATCTCCATCTCTCTGCATCTAGCTCAATGCAGAATACCTAGTAGAATTGTTTCTTCATCTAAGAAATTGAAGAATCAAAGTTGCTTGTCTATCACTTTTTTTTTTTTGAGACAGGGTCTCACTATGTAGTTGAGACTGACCTGGAACTCACTATGTAGCTCAAGCTGGTCTCGAACTCACAGCGATCCTGCTGCCTCAGCCTCCCGAGTGCTGGGATTACAGGAGTGAACCACCATGCCCGGCTTTCTTTTCTATTTTAATAGCTGAATCCTTCAAAAGAATCTTCTGAGAAGAAAAAAATAATTTTACTATTATGAGCTTTCTTTCTTTACCCTAAAATCTTGAGTTCTTCTGAAATTTACAAGTTGGTTTCTTTATATTTAAAGATATAAAGAATCACAACTGATTCATATTCTAAATAATCTTAACTGTCCAAATATTTCTAAAGATTTTATCACTGAGCTATCTGTGTGCCTTGAACAAGTGCCTAATGGGTGTGCTATTAATATCTTGTGCCAGCTGGTGCCAGGCATTCTTCTCATGGTGAGCCAGAGGGTTATTTTGAGGAAGTGCTTCTCAGGTCACCTAAACTAAAGGAAGGAAAAGTAAGTCTGGAGAGCCAAGAGGACATTTGTGAATTCCCATCCCCATTCAGCTAACAACTTGTATTGAGTGCCTACTGTATGCATAAAATTGACCAGTGGTACAAAAGACCCAATTTAGGGTCTGATGCATTTCTGAAGTTTGTGAAGTTTTTGTGCTATCTTTAAATTCTTCTGTTTGTACTTTTGAGACAGGATCTCACTGAACAGTAGTTCAGGGTGGCCTTGAATTCACTACTGCCCACAATGGCCTCAAAACTCGCAGTGATCCTTCAGCCTAAGCCTCCCAAGTACTGGAATAAGAGGCATGCACTACCACACCCAGCCAAATTCAATTTATATAAGGAAAAAGCAGTATAGCCTTTAAGAATATCTCTAGGTTAGGCCAGGGATATAGCTCAGTGGAACCACACCTGCCTCACAAGGGCAAGGTCCTGAGTTTAACCCCCAGTACTAAAAGAAAAAAGAAAGAAAGAAAAAAAAAAACTCTAGGTAGTCCTTCACATTTGAAATTAAAGGAATGGATACCTAAAGTGAATTACAAATGACTCAGAATAGAAAATGAAGTATTTATATAATATGGTTTTCATTATTCATCAACCTATACCAGAATATTAAAATTTTAAAGGATCTTATTTCCTACTATGCAGTATTTTGTTTTTACTAAATTTGCTTGAAAATCTAATATATTTGAGAGAAAGATTTAGATATTTTAGAGTAAGACTTACTTGAAGGGAGATTTCTGATTATGAATATTTATCTTACAAAATTCAGAAAGTACTGGCAATTCCACCATCCAAAATAATCATTTGGAAATATGCATATCTGCTAACATATTTATGGTATTGTGTGTAATTCAGTAGTTAATCTTTTATCTTAGCATTTTATCCTCCAATGAATGTTCTTCAAAATATCCAAAACTTTAATTTTTAGGACTACTTTTTTCATACCAGGGATCGAACTCAGGACCTTACACTTATGCAACAGGCACACTGCCACTTAGCTAAATCTCCAGCCCATGACTTCTATTTTTTAGTGCTGTATTACTGTGAAATTGGACAATGAAAAGTTTAATTTTCTATGGCTACTCAAGAAATATTATGAAATTAAAATGAGATAATGGTTGTGAAGTTCACTACACCATACCCACTAGAATAGATGTTCAATAAATGCTTATTGGTTACATCAGGTTAGATGTTCTTAAAATAAGTTGCATAGAAGAGAGACTAGGGTTCCAAAATCTTTTACTAGCACAATTTGACTATTTATTAAAATAGCTGTGTTGCAAGATTTTAATGAGACATCTTGAAATGTATGAAACGTGGACATGAAACTAGGTTTAAGGTTCACTTTCTCTTATATCAGTCAGTTTCTTAGGATGTCATGTTATAATGCCAACTTCCTATAAAGTAGTAGAATAATAAACTTTCCTAGTTTTAAAAATAATGCCTAAAAATTACTCTCAAAAATGTCATAAGCTGGGCATGGTGGCACATGCCTGTAATCCCAGCAGTCGGGAGGCTGAGGCAGGAGGATTGCTACAAGTTCGAGACTAGTCTGGGCTACATAGTGAGTTCCAAGTCAGTCTCAACTACATAGTGAGACCCTGTCTCAAAAAAAAAAAAGTCATAATTATAAAATAACTCACACTTTGAAGTTTCATAGAGGTACAAAGAACAGCTAAATATTGTGTTAAACTCTGGGACTGAACTGTGAAGGGTTGAAAGAGCTTAAAGTAGATTAAAATAAAATGGGCTCTTAATTAGAAAATCTGAAGTAAATATTTTTGTTTTATTAATGAGCTGTTTTGAAAAATAACAAGATTTGGGCCTGTGATTTAGCACAGTGGTGCTGCCACCTGCCTTGCAAGCACAAGGTCCTGAGTTCAATCCCCTGCACACACAAAAAAAGAACAAGATTTTGTAGTTGTGGGTTTTGGTTATGTTATCACTGAATGAGTGACACCCAAGTCACTACTTGTTTTAGTTGGTCTGGTTGTCTAGAGACTTTCCTAAAAGTTTTTAAACCTTTCAAATTAAAAGATTTACTGCATAGTATAGACTTTTTGTTTTAGTGCTACCTGGTTTAATAAAGAGCTTTGAGAAGAAACTTTCACAGTGTGCTGCGCTTCCTAATTTAAAAACGTAAACAGAGGAAACTGACAAATTTTTATGCATTCTGGAAATTTGCCTTCCTTTCTGTAATTTTTTTTTTTTTTTTTTTTTTTTTTTTTTTTCGGGAGTCCTTGCACTTGCAAGGCAGGCCACCGAACCACTGAGCTAAATCCCCAGCCCTTCTGTAATTCTCATTTATATAAAAGTTTTCATTTTTATCTCTAGGAAACTTGTACTTACTTCATTTGCATTGGTTTTAGGAATAGTCCCTTAAAAAGTTACTGCAGTTCCATTCACAACAGTATGAAAGTGTGAATATACAGAAGGCAGTACAGAAAGTCTTACATAACTATAGAAAATCAGCATGAGACCACTGGGTCATCCTGAGAGAGAAGATAGCTTAGAGGTCAACATGAAGTTTTCTGAAACTACAGCACCAGTGCTCATTTTTTAAAACATTTTCATGCCATGCTACTAAAGACAAAACCCTGATCTGCTCAAATTGAAAAAATCAGAAGGCCAAATGTCGTTTCAGACCAAGTAAATAATAGCATGCCTTGTATATACTTATTTACTTGGGGCTTTGGTAATACTGAGAGAATCATAACAGTATTGAGGGACTCAAAACAAAGCAGCAGTCTTCCATTGTGCTTTGCTGTCTCAGATAGAAATAAAGCAGAACCCTTGGTGGAATAATTTCACTAGGTAATGGATGAAACTTCGGTTTAATTTTTAAATATAAAACTGTACACTTGTGATTGTTTCTAGTTGAGGTCCAGATGAATCTTGGTACAAGTAAAAATCACACAGCAATTGATATAATTACAAAGAAACATTGTTGTAGCTACTTTAACATCCCAACAGATGTTTATATTTTACAAACTTTGCTTTCTTGAGAAGTTTGTTGCATTCTGTAACAAAAAACAGCATTCAGCAAGTCATTTTCCTTGTCTAGATTTGTAGTATTTCTTCTGTAAAACTTGTAAAAGACTTGTTTTTATTATGTGTGTGCATTGTGTTAAGGAGACGATATAAGCTCAGCTGTAGTTGATCAGTTCTTCATTTGCCTTGCTTGAAATTTCAGTTAACTCAACACCCCTCCCATTTCTAGTATCCCAGATTTCTGAAGAGGGGTCATCTGTGATACCAAATTACGTTTGAGACCAGCCTGGGCTACATAGTGCGTTCCAGGTCAGTCTCAACTACATAGTGAGACCCTGTCTCAAAAAACCAAACCAAACCAAACCAAACAAAAAGTAAATCACTCCACTAACATGACAGTGTGCACCTGTAATCCCTGTTCTCAGGAGGCTAGGGCAGAATTGCCACAAGTTCAAGATCAACCTGAACTACAAACAGAAATAACAATAATAATAATAATACCAAATCACTCACCAAAGCAGTGTGTCACATTTAAAGATGTA